CAGTCGGTCCCCGCACCCTCTCCTGCCTCAGAGGACAACACCGATGGCTTCCTCGAAACCAGAGCCAGGGAAGAGAAGGTGCAGGAGGGGCAGGCAGGCAGGGGCCTCGCTGCTCTAACCCCGCAGGTTTATTTCATTTTACTGAGATAGGGTCACTAGTCAGTCACGCTGGCCTGGAATTTGTGGTGATCCTCCTGCCTCAGCCTCCTGCGTGCTGGGATGACAGGCGCGCGCCCCGCTCCCTTTCAAGAAAACGAGACACTCAAAGGGAAGGAGCAGCCCCAGGCCGTGTGTGTGTGAGTGTGCAAGCACACGCTCGCGCCTATGAAATATTTACGTGGCGCCCCACGCGTTTATGGCTGTAATTAATCTCGGGCCTCGTTGGCGCTGGCAGAGAGCAGAGCTTTAAGAAATGTGGCCCGGGGGAGGCCAAGGCTGACGCTGCCGGGCTCCTTGCCTGGGAGACTGGGGTGTGCGCAGGGCCGGGGAGGGGACCAGGGCCAGCGTGTCCCTCTCACCGTGACAGCCTCTGACTGCTTCACTCTGGCGCTGGTGTTGGTTTATTTTGTGTTTACAGCTTAAACTGAAGTGCAAATGGCTTGTCATTCAAAGCAAATATTTAAGACACAAGGTTTGCTGGGGCCATAACAGGCATCTGGCGTCCCGGCACGCTGGGAGGCTGAGGCTGAGGCAGGAGGGTCTTTACAATTTCAAGCTCAGCCACACAGTGAGTTCCAGGGCAACCTGAAGTGCATGACACGAGCCTGTCTCAAAATAAAATTGTGTTTCTTGTGGAAATGTGTAGCTCTGTGTGTCTAGGAGCCATTTAACCGCGTCTCCGTCAACCACAGCCTCTCAGGGGACCAGGTCCTGGGGTCTCCTCCCTGGGAGCCGTGGCCGCCCCGCGCCACCGCATCTGCAGGGTGATGCTGCGGAGGACGCGTTTCGGGTTGCTAAGCGATGACGTCAGCACGTGTGCGCATACGTGCGCATGCGCGCCTGCTCACACACGCATGCGCATACGGGTGGGCTCCTGGGTGCACCCTGCACAGGCCTCCTTGCATCTGTCTGGCCGCCAGCCGGACCCCCAAAGGCCCCAGAATGCCTTGCAGCTCGCTTCCCCAATCTCCCTTTTCCAAGCAACCAGTCTGCTTTGGGTCACTATAAATTAGTTTACACTTTTTCTTTCTTTCTTTTGTTTTCCTGTCCATTTTTTCCCTTCGAGACAGGGTGTCACCAAGTGGCCTGGGGCTGGTGTCAGGCGCCTGGGCCTCCCGAGCAGCCCGGCTGCGTTGCACTTTGCAGGCCTTGCATGCGCGTAAGCTCTCAGGTGCGCGGCTCCTTTCACTCTGCCTCACAATTCCCAGATATGCAGGCTGCGAGACCAGGGTGCTTTCCGCTTGCTGCACCCTGAATTGGGCTGCACCGATCACTGTGCCTCCCAAGCCACGCCCAACCCTCAAAGGCCACGCCCCAAACGACAGGGCCACGCCCTCCAGGCGTTACCACGCCCAACCTTCCCAAAGGCCACGCCCCCAATAACCTCTTACTCTCATCAGACCCCGCCCCTTAAAGGCCCCACTGCTTCCCCACAGCTCCATGCACAGACCTTGGGGTCTCCAGGTCCATTTTAATCAGATGATGGTCTGTACATCCCAGGGGCTGGGCCGGGTCATCTCCCCCCATCCTCTCGATGACCCAGTGCCTATGCACGGGTCACTTACAGAAGGGGACGCAGAGGACCTGAGCCCAAGTGCCTCCGACTTCAGAGCGTCACCCCCCAGGCCGCGCTGCACAGAACCGGGCAGGGTGGGGGCACCTTCGGCCTCTCCCTAGGCTCAGGGCTCCGAGGGCGTGGTATGCAGTGGGAGCTCAATAAATGCACACAGAAACCCGGGCAGGAGGCCACAGAGCACCTGCAGGTGGAATCCCACTCGCCCCAAAACTGCAAGGGCTCCCTGGGGTTAAAGGTCACCTGCGTGACGCATGCGACAGGTGGTTGAAAACTTTCCCCCCCGCGCCTGCTGCTCCACGGACTCCGCGCTCCTTCGCAGTCCTCCCCAGGACCTCTGCTGATCCTGGGAACTGTCCGGTTCTCTCCTGTTTAAAATCTATTTCATTTTAAGACGGCATCTAGCTCTGCAGCCCAGACCGGCCTCAGACGTGCAGCGATCCTCCTGCCTCAGCCTCCCGCTGCTGGGATGGCAGGCACGCGCCTCCATTTGTGGCTTCCACTGGGCTCCTGCAAGCATTTGTTGAGTGCCTCCCGGACCCCAGGCCCTCAGGGAAGCACCACGCAGGGTCAAAGTCGGCTCCCGGGGAAGCTGCCGGCCGGTGGGGGTCTCAGGACCCTCCTGCCCCAGCCTCATGCTCTGCGCGGTCTCCAGAGCCGCAACCAGGGCCCCCCACACCGCGCGGTTCCGAGAGCCCCGGGCTGGCCTCGGCAGGCGGGTGCTGCTGCAGACGGCAAACAGATGCCGGCTATTTAAAACCCAGCACTAACTCGTTAGACAGCTGTTCCCGGTCCCGAAGCTGGTGGAATCAGAATTGAATTCATTCCCAAATTACACACAGACACACACACACACACACACAGACACACACACACACACACACTTCGGAGGCAAAACTCATTAGCTCCAAGCAGAGGGACGGGGGCTCAGTTTCCACCTGACAGTGACATCGCAGCCCAGTGGTTGCCTGGGGCCAAGCTGCCTGGGGACCAAGATCCCACACAGCCTCTACCAGGGGTGTCCAGATGCTACCCGGGGCTCCCTGGGCTCCATGTGACACAGGCAATAACACACACACTGTCACCGAGCCCCTCCACCTCTCCTTCAGCAGCCCGCATCCCCTGCATTCCCTGCCACCTACACCTCCTCTCTCCCTTAGATGCAGCCACGCTGGTGGCCCCAGGACCTTTGCACATGCTGTTCTTGCCCCAGAGAGCCCTGCTCTCACTCCAGTCCATCTGTTCTTCACAAACCTCCCTCATCCTTCAGCTGTCTGTTTAAATGTCCCCCACGCAGAGAGGATGTCCCTCCCTGTCCCCCTGGATCACCCACTGCCTCTCTCTGAGACTTATTTTTTCCTTATTGCTTAAAGATTTTTTTAGTATCTTAAGGATTTCTGATTTTTAAAAAAAAAAAAATGTTTTGTTTTGAAATGATTTTAAACTTACAGAAAAATGGCAAAAATAGCACCGAGTTTCTGAATACCCTCCTCCCCACGTCCCCTGAAGTGAACATCTTACATAACCGCTGCACAGCGCTCAAACAGGGACACTGGTAGCAGACCTGGTACGCACAGAGCCACGCGCTTGGAGTTCTGTTAGCTTTTTAAATGATGCTTTTTGAGTTTTCATTGATGCCTGGTTACCGCACGTACTTCTGGGGTGTAGTGTGACAGCTCACCACGGAGCCCAGGTGGACGGTCAGAGCGTGGTCTTGGGCACCTTTCCTGCCCTTCCCCTTCCCCTCCCCCTCTTCCTGTGTTTCAGGACTGGGCAATGAACCCAGGGCCTTTGCACTGAGCTCCATCCTCAGCCTTCTTTATTTTGAGAAGGTGTCTCAAGAAATCCAGCCAGTTGCCCAGGCCGGCCTCAAACTCACAGGGATCCTCCTGCCTCAGCCTCCCAGAGTGCTGAGGTTATAGGGGTGCACCCCTGCACCCCACAAAAACGTGTGTGTTTTCCAAGCAAATACACATCTGGGGGGAGCTGCTTTGAGACTCTGCAAGCAGCCCATGACTTCAGCCGGGCGAGGTGGCGCACGCCTGTGATCCCAGCACTTGGGAGGCTGAGGCAGGTGGATCGCTGGGAATCTGAGGCCAGCCTGGGCTGCCGAGGGAGGCTCCGTCTCAACAAAAGAAAAGGAAAAGAAAAAAGTCAAAGTTCCGGCAGCAAAGGACACCTGCAGAGGGAAAACCTAGAGCCAGCAGCGGGCGGAGGCCTGGATCCTCGGTGGGCACAGGGCCACAGCCTGACCTGGCCGCCAGCCCTCTGGGCTCAGCCTGTGGCCGCAGCGTTCATCAGGTGCCTGCTGCACACGGCGGCCCTGCCGGGCGCTGACCTAACACGCCTGCATGCGACCGAATGTTAGAGGGGACCCGGGGCCAGGACGGCCACGCACACGGCACAGGACAGACGAGGGGCGTCTCCCCGAGGAGACGGACGGTCCACAGACCCAGAGGCTGTGTGCTGACGTTTATTTTATCGGTCCAACGGGACATGGGCTCCCCAGTGTGCCTTTCTGTGCCCCTGAGGGTGGACCAGGGCTTCCCCCGAGCTCTACCCGAGCCCCTTTTTATTTTTTCCCTTGAGACAGGTCTCACTAAGTTACTATGTGGCCCAGGTTGGGCTGAAATTTGAGATACGGGTGCTGGGATCACAGGGGCGCCCCACCACCGAGCCTGGCGAGTCGGGGCACCTTCAAGCTGTCAGGGGAAAGAGTGTGGGGGGAATCGCCAGGAGGCATTGTGCATGGAGAGGGAGAGGAAGGGAGGAGACGAGGCTGAGGCAGGAGGATCTCCGGGCCACTCAACGGCTCACAGAGGCCTTCTCTGAAAATGAAAACTAAATATAAAAGAGGGCCCCGGGTTCGATCCCCAGTACTGGAATAAAACCTCAAAACACTTACTGTGTGGTGGGGAAGGTCCCCAAACAACCTGGGCACCTCACGTGACAGGCCCTGGGCCCTTCCTTGGCGGGGGCTGGCGGCCTTGGGAGGTGAGCCATAGAGCAGGCTCTCAGCACGGTGCCATCGGAAGCCTGCCTCGAGGCCTCTGAGAGATGCCGGGCCTCCCAGGCCAGAGGGTCTGTGTGTCCTGGGCCTCTTTCTTTCTTTTGTTCAATGGCTCTGTTTTGTGACATGGACAGGGAGGCCTTCATCCTGCAGCCCGGGCGGCCTGGACCCCACAGCGACCCTCCTGCCTCGGCCTCCCCCGCCAGCCTCCTCTCGGGCTCCCGCCTCAGGCACCCAGGAATGCTGTTCCAGCCTCGGGGCCTGGAACAGCGGTGATGTCACAGAGGCCGGGCCTCTGGAACCCCGGGGCCTTCCGGCAGTGACACCGCCAGCCGGGACGATGCCAGCCCCGAGGCCGGGCTTCCGAGGTGCCATGCGGGTGCCATCGTCCGTGCCTCGCCGCCTCTGAGCCCCAGAGCCCTCGCCCACACCCGCCCTGGCCGCGGGGCCTTGGCACACCCCGAGATGCCCAGAGGCCGCCCGAGCGGGGTCCCCGGGGCGCTGCGGGCCTGCCTGGCGCTGGCCCTGCTGCTGGCGGCGCCCTCGCGGGCCCTGGTGCGCGCCGTGCTGGGCGGGAACTGCAGCAGCTCGGTGCTGGACTCGGTGGTGGCGGACTCGGTGCTGGACTCGGTGGTGGACTTCGCCGACCTGCCCGCGCTCTTCGGGGCGCCCGTGTCCCCCCGCGGCCTGCGCGGCTACCTGAGCGAGGCGCGGCCGGCCAGCGCCTGCCAGCCCATCCGCGGCCCGCGGCCCCGCGCCAACGGCTCTCTGGGCGCCATCGCCCTCATCCGCCGCTACGGCTGCGCCTTCGACCTCAAGGTGCTGCACGCGCAGCGCGCGGGCTTCGGGGCCGCCGTGGTGCACAACGTGGGCTCCGAGCAGCTGGTGCGCATGGCGCCCGCCTCCCCGCGCCGCCGCCGCCGCATCGCCATCCCCGCAGTCTTCGTGGGCGAGGCTGCCTCGCGGGACCTGCGCGAACTCCTACGCTGCCAGCGCGCGCCCACCGTGGCGCTGCTGCCCGGGGCGCCCGCCTGCCCCGCGGCCCCCTGCGGGCCCGCGCTGCTGGCCGCCGCCTGGACGCTGGGCCACGGCCTGGCCTCGCTGGCGCTGGCCGCGCTGCTGCTGCGCCATCTGGGGCTGCGGGCGCGCGGGTGGTGGCGCCGGGCGGCGGCCGCCTCCTCGGCCCGCACGCAGACTCGGCGGAAGGCGCGGGTCCGGGTGTACACGCGGCGCCGCGAGCTGTGCGCCATCTGCCTGGAGCAGTTCGAGGAGGGCGACGAGCTGAAGATCCTGCCCTGCGCGCACGCCTACCACTGCGGCTGCATCGACCCCTGGCTGGCCCGGGCGCTCGGCCGCTCCTGCCCGCTGTGCAAACGTCCTGTGGCCACCTCCGAGGACGGCTCCGACTCCGCCGCCGAGAGCCTGGGCGACGACGGCCCGCGGACCCCGGTCTGGGCCGTCCAATCCCGGCTGAGGCCCCGAGCGCCCAGGCTGCTGACCGGGGCCCCCCTGCGCCCCCGCTGCAGCGCCACGGCCCTCGGGGTCCCGTCCGGCACCCCCGGAGCCTCCTGACGGACCCCGGGGTGGGGGGGTGCGGACCTGAGGAAAGCTTCTAGAATAAAGTGGGTTTCACCCTGGATTGTGGCCCTGGCACAGTCTGAGGGGCTCGGCCCCCACCCCCACCCCACCCCACCTCCGGGAGGAGGACGCAGGGCCGCGAGGGGTCCGGGCCGGCCAGCCGTCACGGCCACGGCCGACTCTTTGTCTTTTAGAAGCAGGGCGCGGTGTGCTCGCCGCCTCCTGGCAGTCAGGAGGCTGAGCCAGGAGGGTCTCTCAGAGCTCGAGGCCAGTTTGGGCGACACAGCAAGACCCGCCTCAAAAGAAAGAACAGAATGAATCAATACAAAGGAGGGAGAAGCGGGAACAGAAATAGCCCGCGCGGGGAGCTTTTAGGTTCCGGGTAAGTCAGGAATGTACCGCAGACTGTCAGCTCCGGAACTCCCTCTTCCGTAGCTTCGGGTGGTTGCCACCAGAAGGAACCAACGCCGGGGACTTCACAGCACCAGCCCGGGGCTCTGCCCGCCTCTGTCCTCCCAGCCGCACCTCTAGCCTTTTAATTTAATTTTATTTTGAGGGCAGGATCTTGTGAAGTGGTCCAGGCTGCCTGGACCTTTCCACCTCCCGCCTCGCCCTCGTGGGTAGCTGGGAGGGTCCAGGGGCCACCATGCCTGGCCCCTCAGGTTTTCCAAGCGTATGCGGTTTTCACACTGGACTTCGCACCGAATGGGGTTTGTTGATTGACTCCATGACCTGCCCATAGGCTGGTTTTAACATTGGTCAGAGGTGTGGGGTGAGAGGGTTTAGGGGAGCAGTCTGATATATTCCAGAGAATCGGGTCAGGAAGACTCCAGAAAGCCCTTTATTCCAGAAGGGGATGGGGATTTGTGGCCACAGCCAGGAAGCATAAATGTGGTGGGAGGAGAGGCAGTGCAAAGGTCCGGGAGGGGTTAAGAAGTGCACACTGAGCTTCCCACCTCCTCTTGGCCCCCTCCAGCTGCCCCGGGGAAACCCTGCCCTGCCTGCCACCACTGTGTGTGTGCTGAACAGGGCACAAAGGGAAGGGACGGGAGAGCAGGCTGAGAGGATAAACGGGAACTTGCAAAGCCAGCAGAGTTGGGAGGAAAGATGCAGGCGCCTGGCATGTGCAAAGGCCCTGTGGCATGTGCAGGACAGCAGTAAGGCTGAGGTGAAAGCGTCTCAGGACTCGGGCGCTCCTTTTCCTCTCTGGGGTCTTCTCCTCCAGGATTCACGGCATCCTGTGGGTTTGGCTGCTCCAGACACCTCAGCCCTACAGAGGAGGTGCCCTGCCCCACCTTGTGCAGGAAGGCCAGAGAGGTTAAGCAGGTTGCCTGAGGTCGCTCAGCACGCCACGGCCCAGCCAGGGTGCTGGCCCCTCTGTCCTCTCCTCTTCCACTCAGCAGCCTCTCGGTCTATGTGGAAGATGCCCCTACTGTGTGCTTGGCACTGTACTGGCCACGGTGTCATCCCGGCACTCTGGGAGGCTGAGGCAGGAGGATCACAAGTTCCAGCCCAGCCTGGGCAGCTGAGGGACTTAGTGAGACCCTGTCTCCGAATAAAAAGGGCCAGGGATGGGGCGCACTGCAAAGGCCCTGGGGTTCCTTACCTAGTACTGGAAATCGAAGCATCAGCAGATTCACCGGGGTAGATAAGTATGGGTTAGAGGTGGTAGATTCAGGCTGAGGTGACCAGGGTGGGCATCCTGGGGGAGGTGGCAGGCTTGAGGCATGGCCCAGCCTCTACTGCAGGACGTTCTGGGGTGTGTGTGTTATAGCAACAGCAGCCCGAGCATGTGCAAAGGTCCCGGGGCAGGAGCTGGTAGGAGGTTGCAAGGAAACCATTGAGGAAAACGCAGCAAGGTCTTTAAGCCATGGAGATGAGTTTAAATCCACTTCTGGGACCAACAGGGAGCCATGATATTTTTTTAAATTAAAACTTGCCCCCTGGAGCACTATTCACACAATAAAAATCTTGTTTATACTACTTCGAGTTTTGGACAAAAGCATGGCCACAGATTCCGGTAGCCATGGAAACCACACGGGGTGCAGCCTCTGCCTCTGGGTCTCCCGTTCTGAGACAGGATCTCACTGAATACTGAGTTCCCTAGTTCCCAGGACCCTCAATCATCCTGCCTCAGCCTCCCGGAGGGAGTCACAGCCTGCTGTGGGTGGACCCCAGTTGCCGTGTCACCCGCCTGCTGGGTGTTGCCGTCTGGGGGAACCAGGAACCAAGCTGTGGTGACAAACATCTGTGACGTCTGCTTGCACTGAGCTGACGCAGCTCTCCTCCTGGCCTGAGGGTGCCCGCGCCCACAATTCTAGAAAGCAGAGTACAAGACCCTGCTCGAATCAACATTCTTTTTTTTTGGACAAGAAACTGGAAACCCAGAGAGGTCAGGTCATCTGCTCTGGGGCGCACAGCTCAGAAGGACGAGGCTGGGATTTCCGCAGGAGGAGGGTGCCAGGCCGCGACCGCCCTCGGGTCCTCCTCCCTGTCCCGGCCTCGCCCGCAGCAGGCCTGTCCCCGCCTGCCGGCCCCTCACAGCCAGGCCCAGAAGGGAGGACGTTCTCGGGAACAGATGGCCGCCTTCCGTGCCCAGCGATCTGCCAGTTAATTAACGCCGCCTGTAATTAAACTTCCCACAAATTAGCTGTCAGCTACGCTAAAGGGACCCGTCCCTCTCAAATGCCACCTTGACTGGGTGAAGTGTGGGCCTTGTCGACAAAATAATTAAAGGCAGAGGGGAGGAGACGGGAGCCGGAGTTGTCCTCCTCCTCCTAATATCTCTATTCGCTGTCCAGGGCTGGACCCTGCCGGCCAGGACCCACACACGCAAGGGCCACCCACCCGGGCCACACGGATTCATGATTTCCTTGCTGACTACCTACTGCGTGCGGCCACGGCGTGGGAACCCGGTGAAGGCTGACGGAGAGGTGGTTGGTGGCTTCCTGGAACTTAATGTTCTTGACATGGAAACGTAAAGGCCAAAAAAAGTAAAATTATGCAGAGCAACAAGTGTGGGCCATGCAAAGGTCCTGGGGCAGCACAGAGCCCCGAGATGCAGGAGAATCGAGGAGGAGACCAAGTGGCTGCAGCAGAGCGAGGAGGGGTGGAAAGGGAGCTAGGAGGTGGGGAGGGAGAGGAGGGTCATGTCGGGCCCTGCGGGCTGCAGGAGGACCTGGGCATTGGCCAGGGAGGTGGGAGCCCTGAAGGGCTGAGGGCAGTGAAGGGAGGAGCAGACAGAGTGCTCATGGCGCTCTCTGGTGGCCCGGCCTGTCTATCCTGTCCCTGGGGTCCCACCAACATGGAGGATGGAGGTGAAGGAGCACCTGGGCCATTTTTTAGCTCGGTGGAGCAGGCTTCAGAGCTTGCAGAGCCCCGGGCCTTTGCACATGCTGTCTGTCCTTCCTCCTTGCTACCTTTCCATCACCTCCTGTTCTTTGCATCACTGCCTCCGGGGTCTCCCTAACCCCCACCCAGGGGCTGCAGTGTGAAGCAGGCTGCCTCTGACGTCATCTCCCTGAGGCCGCAAGGCATCTTGGGAGAGAAAAGAAGCCCATCTCCGCTTCCGGCCAGCCCGGGGCGTGGGGGGCAGCCCTGCCCCTGGGAAGCCCGGGGCTCCCCTCCCAGATGGGGACAGACCTCACCTGAGACCCGGAGCGAGGCGCGTTTCAGAGGGCAGAATGTCCTGCGGTCAGGACCGTGCAGAGCACATCCCGAGCCAGACAGGCCGCCTGCCATCGCAGCCGTCGGGGAAGCTGGGCCAGGAGGCCGCGAGTTCGAATCCAACCCGGGCCGCTTAGCAACTGCTTCAAAACAAAACACCCCAAGGGCTGGAGGGGGGTGCTGCTCGGCAGTACAGCACCCCTTACACCCCCAGAACTGAAATAATCATAGTAGCAAGGCCTCCCGGTCACCCCTGGGGTCGCCAAGGGGCGGGGTGCAGAGGTCTGGGGACACGGGGGAGGGGAGGGGCGCGGGAAACCAGGAAGGAAGCGCCCGGCAGCCTCCCCTCCCCCTCCCCTCCCTTGCCCCCTCCCCCTTTTAACCTCCCCCTCCCCTCCCCCTTCTTCTCTCCCCCTCCCCTCCCCTCCCCCCCTGCAGATTACAACACGTGTCCCGAGGGAGTTTTCTGGGTGCCAGAAACTCTGTCGTGCTCAACGCGGGTGGTGGTGCCTGTCCGCACGCATTTGTCAAAACGCACCCAAGTGCACCCTCCATCCTGCGCCCCGCGAGGCCGATCCAGCGGGGAGAAGCCGGGTGCCAGGAACGCGGTGGGGACCGAGGTGGTGCGAAGCTGCAGCCATTTGGCAGCCTCTGAGGCGAGCAGCTGCCGGCCGCCTCGGTGTCTCCCGCCGAGCCGAGGCGGACTCCACCTGGAGCGGCGGGAGCCGGCGCCTTGCAGCTTCCTTCCTGAAAAGCAAACACAAGGAGGGACCTAGACGCCTGTCAGCCGGTGGCAGGGAACGCGCATGGCAAGCCAGCTACAGCGGAATACGACACAGCGAGGATAAAGGCAGGACTGAGATGCATAGGGCTTGGGGGAACCACAAAACCAGCGGGCAGACCCAGAAGGCGATGTCCCAGCCAGCCGTGGTGGTGCTCGCCTGACATCCCAGCACTCAGGAGGCTGAGGCAGGAGAATCACAAATGTGCAACCAGTCCTGGCAATTTAATGGCTTGGAGAGACTGCCTCGAAATAAAAAAGTAAACAGGGGCTGGAGATGTAGCTTTGTGCAGAGCTCCTAGGTTCAGTCCCCTGCACTAAAACAATGTTCTTCTGGACACGGGATCTTACTATGTAGCCCAGGCTGGACTCAAACTTGCCGCGATCCTCCTGCCTCAGCCTCCTGAGTGCTGGATGACAGGCGCACACCACCTCCAAATTACTTTTTTAGATAAAGGAACGTTCTCCTGCAGGTCAGGGCTGAGACGCAATGAGAGAGCTTTTCTCCGCCATGCAACGCTTCAGAAAAGCACCCAGCACCTCAGCACAAAGCTAAATAACGTCTGACTGCAATATTTTTTTCAAAAAATCAAAATTAATGCCAAAACAATTTTCCAAGATGAACGCAGTATCAAAATTTCAGATGACGAGGGAAAGGCCGCCACCTCCCCGCCCCCGCCCTCGTCTGCTCGGCCCAAGGACCCCGCGTGGGGGCAGCTTGCCGGGGCAGCCCCGCTGGGAGGTGTGCCTTTTGGGGGGCGGGGGGTGCACATCACACTTCGCTGAGGAAAGGAAGAACCGCAGGCAAACAAAACCACCAGCTCGTCTCCAAAAAAAAAAAAATAATAAATAAATTAAAACCGCCCACAGTTAGAAAGAATTCCATCAGGCAGGGCTGCGGTGGGCAGGGAGGGGAAGGCAGGATTCTGCAAAACAAGGGCGGTCGGCAGCGGCTGGCGGGGGGATAGCTGTCGGCGGAGGCAGCGTGGGGAGACACGGGGGGCCCCTGTGCTGTTACTCGGGACTCCCAGGAAGGCGGGGACCCGGGCCTCATCTGGCCATTACTGTGGCTCCGGGGCAGCTGTACACAGTGGGCGCTCAATAAATGCACAGTGCAGTGCGGGAAGCCGCTGGGGCTCCCCATTGCTGGGGGGGGGGCCCTGGCTCCTCCAGGCGGGGGTGGGGGGCAGCCCCCGGCCCCTATGTTGGGACTTGGGCCCCAGAAAGTCGCTTAAGCAGGTGGGGAGCGCGATGGAGCAGACGCAGGTGCCGCCTTGGGGCTGTGCCCGGGTCAGCCCGCGGCGCTCTGGGGGTGCTGGACCCAGGCCAGCGTGGAACCGGCTCCTGGCCTTTCCAGAGCCGGGAGGGGGCAGCGGAGCACGCGGCCGGCCAATGGGAGCGAAGAGCTGCGCATTACCTCATCAGGCAGCACGGCCATTGGCTGCGAGCTCCCGGTGGGCGGGCGCTGGACGCCGGCTCCTGGCAACCGCAGGGCGGGTCTTGTGGGGGAGGGGGCAGGGCGGAGCGCGCACCTTGGACTCTGCAGGGTCCACCGGCTACGAGGGGGTGTCGCCCCCCCCACGGGTCCCCAAGCGGCAGACGCGTCCCCACTCCTGGTGAAAACACTTTCTCCAGCTGTCCTGAGACCTCAGCGTCCACCCCCAGCGTCCCACAACGCACAGGACCGTAGGTGTCCCGGGCAGCCTCTGGGCATCTATTGGGTGCCTGCTGTGTGCAGGGGAAGGGGTTGCAGGAAGCAGGAAGATGGGGGGCTCGACCCAGGGTCCTGCACCCCAAAGTGGGCTGCAGGAGGTCTTGGGCTTTGGTCGGGTCAGGAGGGAGCCATGCAGAACTGAGGACAGAGGGAGGGGCGCGGTGCTCCGGGCCCAGAGCCCCGGCCGCACCCCTGCGCCAGCCTCAGGAGGACCAAGGGGCCCACTCTGTGCAAACCTCGCAGCTGCTCGGCCTCCTGGCTGGGACCGAGGTTGTAGAGAAATCCATCTGTCCCGGCGTCTGGCTGATTTGCTACAAGGCCTGAGGGGCCCCCCACCGCCTGAGTGGTGGCCCCCCGCCCAGCCCCACACCACGCTGCCAGCCGAGCCCCCTTTGGAGAGGAACTAACAGCCCTTGATTAATGGGCAGGGCGCAGGCTGCTGCATCTACAAACACAGTGTCCCCGTGTCATTGCAATTAAGGACACGTCGTGTGTGACGGCTCCGTCCCGGCCTCCGAAGCCTGACCGCCCTCGCCCCCTCTGTGGGGACATTTGCCCGGCTCCTCCTCCTCCGCTCTCTCTCCCCCACTCTTCCTGGCCACTTCCGGTCTCCCTTCTTTTCTGCCATCAAATCTCTGTCTCTGAGTAACCCCCCACCTTTCGATTTTTTACAGAGCCTCCCTGTGACCCCCATACTCACCTGCCCAGTTGACATCATAACAGGGACCTCGAGGCGGGGTCTGCAGATGCCCAAGGGGAGCTAAAGTCAGGGTAAAGCTGGGTCCTCGCTTTCATCTTGTTTTTGATTTTCATTTTTTTACTTATTTAGTTTTGAAACAGGGTCTCGCAGGTAGTCCAGGCCGGCCTTGAACTCACAGTGTAGCCCAGCCTGGCCTCCAACCTCGAAGCCACGCTCCTGCCTCAGCCTCCTGAGTGCCAGGATGCCAGCCCTGTGCACCACCCCTGGCATTTCAGCCCTGCCTGGGGCCGTTAATCACACAGGAGGCGTCTGTCTGTCTCCAGTCTGCTAATGTCACATTTATTACCCTCATTCTGCCCGGGCTGAGCCTCGGATAAGAGTCACGAGGTATTTTCAGGATTTGCAGGGGACACTTAGCTGCCAGCTTTTGCTGTGCTCTGTCCCAGGCTCCGTGCACTGACTCCTGAAAGTCCCCCGTCCTTGTGCTAAGCCCCAGCTGCTAGGTGTGGTGGCCTGGCTGGGTGCCCAGCACTTGGGAGGCTGAGGCAGGAGGATCCTTGAGAGTTGAGGCCAGCTTGGCTCAGAGCAAGACCCTCGCCTCAAAAAACCAAACCAAATGGAATAAAGGACACCTGTCAACTCAGATTCCAGGAACAGCAGAGCCTCTCGGAATAATCACCCCTAAGACCAGAAACAAGGCTGTCCCTCAGGGGGATGCACCACCATTGTCCCCTGAGCCATCAGTGAAGACTTCCCGACCCACCTTGCAGAACCTGCCCTGAGATTCCTGCCTGGCAGGCCTCGGAGGCAGGTCTCACACCAGACACTGCTTTCTTTCTGTCCCTCACAGTGACCTGGCATGAACCTGGGCCTCTAGCAGGCAGGCAGGATCCACATTGATGAGCTTCAGCCAGGCGGGGTGGCGCACGCCTGTCACCCCAGCACTCAGGAGGCTGAGGCAGGAAGACCGCTGTGGGTTTGAGGCCAGCCTGGACCCTGGCCAACGGCAGGACTGTTTCAAAACACCGAAAGAAACCGCCAAATAATGATGGCTTCATGTTATTGTCACCTGTTGTCCCGAAAGCTTACTGTGTGCCCAGACGAGGGATGTGGGGTTCACCTGGGTCCTCCCACACACTCAGGCCTTTGTCCACTCGCGGCTTCTCAGTTAAGCCCACTTTTATCCCTATTTGACACGCAAAAGGCTGAAGCCCAGAGAGGGTGCAGCACTTGGCCGGGGTCACACAGCTCTCCAGGGCCAATGCTAGCATTCGAACCCAGACCCCGGACCCAGAGCTCCCCGCGCTGGACGCGATGTGGGCGCACAGCACGGCCCCTGCCTGCGGCTGGAAGGAGGTTTGCTGATGCTCTCTCTGCGCCGGGCAAGCAGCTGTCAGCGGCTCCTCTGGGCTCTGATAAATCGAGAGAATTAAAATCCATTTAGAGGGAAATCTCTAAATAGGCCTGTGTTGTGTTTGGCGCGTTGTTTTTTTCCCCTTTCTTCTTCCCCTCTCCTTTCCCCCGCTGTCTCCGGCTGGGTAATGTATTCCAGAAGCCGAGCCGAGGCGGATTTAATTGAATTTAAAAGCAGGTATTACGGCTGCACCTTGCAAGAGCGCACGCCGAGGGGGAGCTGCGGACATGGAGCGGCGCCTGCTTCTCGCTGGGGCCTCGCTGGGCTGTGACCTAACGGATGGGGCCTCGGCAAGGCTGGGCCGTGGGGTGACGGGGGGCCGCGCGGTGCTGGGGGTGGGCCACACTGAGCCACACCCTCGGGGCTTTTTAGTTTTTATCTTGGGAAAAGGTCTTGCTAAGTTGCTCAGGCTGGACTTGAACTTGGGATCTTCCTGCTTCAGCCTCCCAGAGGGCGTGAGTAACAGGAGACCGCGGCCACGGACAGCTCTGCGTTTCTCCGTTATCTCCTCCTGTCGCCCTGTCCCTGGTCCCAGTTTCGGGTTAGCCCCTACCAGCGCACCCACAGCCATGCTCAGGCCACGCCCACAAGAGACCCCGCCCACTCAGAGACCCCGCCCACAAAGATCTCCCGCTCGCGGGAGGCCACGCCCACGGACCGCTCATCTGCCTCTCCCCCGCCCCCACCCAGCCTGAACCCCATCGTGTCTTTCACGGGCTCCTTGCTCCATCCTGGAGCTCCCATAGCAGCCAAAAGGATTTTCTTTTTCTATGAAACTATAGTTTTTTGGGTTTTGGTTTTTTTGGTCTTTTTTTTGAGACCGGGTCTTGCTGTGCAGTTCAGGCTGGCCTTGCACTCACTGTGTAGCCCAGGCTGGTCTCCAATGCACAGTGACCCTCCTGCGTCAGCCTCCCGAGGGCTGGGATAACAGGCGTGAGCCACCATGCTGGTCTAGTTATTTTTTTTAATCAGGGCAAAAAACAATATCTAATTTAAACTTCGCTATCTCAGCCAGTGCCCCGAAGTGGCTTTAGCCTATTCCAAGTGTCGCCAGCCACTGCCACCATCTATTTCAAAAACTTCCGTTACCCCAAATACAAACGCTGTGACTGACAAGACCTCCTCAAGCAGCCTTTCCTGGGTCCCGCCCGGCTACTTCCCTCTAGAGGTCAGGCAGCTCTCGGTTTGAGTGTTTTTTTTTTTTTCTTTTTGTGGCAATACGGGTTGAACCGGGGGCTTTCACAATGAGCTACATCCCCAACCTATTTTAGTTTTTAATTTTGGGTCAGGGTCTTGCCAAATCATCCAGGCTGGGCTCCAACTTGGGATCCTCCTGCCTCAGCCTCCCAGACTGCTCAGAGGCCAGGCCTGCACCACCACGCCCGGCTCTTCCTCAACTGTCCACTCCCACGCATCGCTGCTTCTTGGATGTCCTCCCGGATCAAGGGTTATGAATCTGAGAGCTCCTTTGGGTCCCAAGTAGCCCAAGTGTCCTCCACGAGGCCTGGTTAGGGACCGCAGGTGACTCCCCCGCTAGGAGGCTGACGTTTGTTCTGATTTGGTCAGCACTGTGGCCCAGCACAGGACGCAGCACATAGTAGGTGCTCAATGCACGCGGGGCTTGGTCTTCCGGGCAGACCCCGCCTACCTCCTGCAATTAGATGCCATCAGTGCTGGGGTTTCATCCCGCGCCGCGCCCGCCCGTGATGGATGGGGGTGGGTGAGCCATTAAACCGGCGGAATATTCTCTGTTCCAGGCGCTGGGCAGACTCTTTTCAGCAAAGCTATCTGGCCCGATCTCAAAATGAGAAAGTCATTAAAAACACACACGCACATGCACTCACACACACGCGCGCAGGCTGCCGGCGCGCATCTCGGCTTCTGCAGGGGGGAAAGAGCCCTCAATTAATACACAGTTGCAAATGTCGCAGTCTGCGCGCGGGGGCAGCGCGGCCTGCAGATGACGGGACCGCAGCGCGGGAGGCCCCCACGTGTCACAGTACTCACGAGTTGCTGGCACCCGAGTTACGCAGTCACTTGTCGCCTTAAGTTGAGCTCCTGGAAACAGGCTCCAAAGGAGGCTTTAGGGGCGAGGAGATTGTGGGGAGATGACGCCAGGGGTGTGTGGGGGGCACTGGTGTGACCACCAGGGTGCAGTCCTACTGTGCACCAGGCAGCTGCAAAGCGCATGCGCTGAGATCTCCCCACACCCTCAACAGAGGTGGGGGCTGGGGCCAGCGGGAAACAGCGGGACCCAGATTTGTCCTCCCGGAACTCAGCCACAGGCACTGGGGAGGTGGTGCACAGCAGTGGCCAGGACATGAGGGGCTGGGCCTGGGCATCTCGGGGTGATGCCGCTCTCCATGTGGGGTGGCAGGGCCAGAGAAGCTTCGGGAGGGAGACACAGCTAAGGATGAGCAGGAGCTGGGGAGGCGGCACGTGCAAGCATTTCAGCGCTCGGGAGGCTGAGGCAGGAGGGTGGCAAGTTGGAGCCCAGCCTGGGCAACTCAGCCACTTAATGAGACCTTGTCTCAAAATATAAAATAAAAAAGATTGGGGGTGTAGTTCAGTGCCAAGGCCTGGGGTTCAACCCTCATAAGAAGAAAGACAGCCAGGCAGACAGCCAGACAGACAGAAAAGCAAAAGGATGAATGGGCGTCAGCTCCGTAAAGGTGTGTGTGTGTGGGGGGGTGGAAGGCCTAGATCGTGAAGAATCTGGAACACGGGCTTGGGCGTTCTCTGAGGGCCCGGGGAGCAGTCCTGTGTTACGGAGGAAGAGGGGAGAAAGGGAGACTTACACAGAACACGCATCGATCCTTCCAGCTGCCGTGTGGATGCCGGGAGCCACCTCCAGGGCCAGTGTTTGTATGAGCAAGGCAGGAGTGACAGGGCAGAGGCGTCCCGGACCTTAACGAGATCCACAGGGAGCCGGGTGCTCAGTAGGGGACATAGGGACAGAGGCCGCGAGGCTTCTTTACGGGTTTCCAGAGAGAGTGTGGCAGAGAGGGGCACAGAAAGCGTGCCGTGGGGCCCGAGGGATGCAGAGGAGTTCGCCACCTGTACCTGGCAGACACCAAATGGAGAGCTCAAGAGGAACTGGAGAAAGCCCTCGAACCACATCTGGGTGGAGATGGGGTTGGGGTGGGCATCTCCTGGGTCATTAAATCTGCAGAAAAACTTCCTGACTGTGGACCATCCGGGAAGGAAGAGGCGCATTGGAGTAGCAGCGCGTTACAAAAAAATCAGTAAAATAAGTACAAAAGAAGGCCTGGTCGGTAGAAGTCCAGTTGTGCAGCTCAGAGCACTGGGCCCAGTGGACCCAGCATCCCCGAAGTGATGGTCCTTGGAAACCTATCTACAGTCTCCAGCTGCATCCTCCGGCCACGTGACCAAGCGGAACCAATCAGGAGGCCGATAGGAATAGGCTTCCAGGATTGGCTGGATTGGGAGGGCCCGGAAGCGGAAGTGGGGAAAGTATGGGACTGGGGAAGTGATGCTCTCTGCTTTACCCAGCACGCCTCAGGGTCTCTGCGCAAAGAAGCCTGTAGTTAGACCCTGTGCAAACAGGTGTTTCCATTTCCCCCTGGTAATTCAAGGGCCGGCCCCCAGTTCAGCTTCAGATTGGGGCTCCCGGAAGGAGCCAGGATCAGAACGGAAGTGAGGGTCACATCATTCCCGCCCACGTCCTCTGGCTACAAAGCCAGCCACCAGGCGGCCCAACAGCAATGTTTCCCAGGGGAAAGAGGAAGTGGGCCTGGAGGTCCCGCAGCCACACAGGCCAGGGTGCCGCCATCTCTGAAGGTGGGGGATGGATGGACATACAGGGAACTAATGTCCACCACTGAAGAAAGGAGAGAAAGCTGCAGCCCACCTTGTGACATCATGGAGAATGTCGTCACTCAAACATCTTTTGGGGCAGGGACTGGGTATGAAGGTCACACTATGGCTCCATATGCTGAAGGGGTTCCTGACCCCGTTGGTTCTAGGTATGTGTTTACTGAGTGGGTGAACAGATCACGGGGTAGGAGGATGGACGGATGCATGCATGGGTGGGTGCACGGATGGATGGATGGATAAATGTGTAGGTGGATGGTGAGTGGATTCCAGATGGATGATGCACTGATGAGTGGATGAGTGGATGGATGCATGGATGGATGGACAGGAGGATGGATGGATAGATAAATGGATGGATGGGAGGATGGATGGATGGATAGGTGAATGGGAGGATGGTGGTGGTTGGGAGGATAACCAGCTAGTTGGACAACAGGTGCGTATATTTATAACCAGAGCCCTTCCTCCTCTGATTTCTGGCTGCACCAATGTGGTTGTGAGCGCTGACAGCGTGAGCCTCCAGCCAGATGCTTCCCTGTAATTCCTGGGCTTCGGGTCAGTGTCCTGCCCTTCTGTACATGGACATCGCCCTGGTGGCCAGCAGCTGGTTTTCAACTGAATCCCCCAGTGAGAGCTTCCTTTGAGCTCCTTTCTAAAGAAACTCTTACTTGGGTGCTAATCTGCCTTTGCCACCCGCTCTGACCCCCGAGCCTCCTTGGGACTGCCAGCAAGCTCCGGCTCAGGCCCTTGGGACACCGCACTGGATCACAGATGAGTGACAGCACCTTTGGGTCCCTTGGGTTATTTTCTACTTACGGCGAATGCTCTGACTTTTCGGTTTAAGTTGTGATAAACGGTTTTCCCCTGAAACTGATTTAAGATTGTGCCAAGCGCATCCACTGGGAGGCGAATATTCAGGAAATACGAGTGGAGGTCATTTGGGACTGGAGTTTGGGGGGCGAGCCCAGGGCAGCTGAAGCGACCTGCACCCCGTTGTCAGGGACCTTGGCCGGTGCTCTGTCTTCTCCCCTGAAAATGCTCCCAATTACCTTTCTCTCATCAAAAGGTTTTGGGGAAGGGCCTGGGGATTTAGCTCAGCGGCATAAGTGCCTGCTTGGCAAGCAGGCAGTCGTGAGTTCGATCCCTGGTACCGATAAAAAGGGAAAAAGACAAAAAAAAAAACAAAAAAAGGTTTTGGGGATGGGGAAAAGGTGCCAGTGGGCACTGGGCAAAGTTGTCAGGGGTGGCAGTGTTGGAGGAAACATTTCTTTCTTTTTCTGAGACAGGGTCTCACTTTGTAGCTGAGGCTGGTCTTGAACTCGCGGTGATCCTCCTGCCTCAGCCTCCCCGGTGCTGGGATCACAGGCTGGTTTGCCCTGGCCTGGTTTGAGGGGAGAGTTTGGAAGGGTACCCACGGTCTCAGGGTCTCAGTACTGAGACCTACAGAGAGAGCCCTGGGGACACAAGTACCCCTGGAATAACGTGTGAATGGGTGTGCGTGAGTGTGCACGCTCCTGAGCCGAGTCCAGCCTGAGCCCGACCTTCGGAGGGCGTCTGCGCTGCACCCTCCCCTCCCCCCTCCCGCCAGCCAGCGCCGGTGTTTTCCCTCGATGACATTTGGAGTCTTTTAATAGTTGTCACATTAGCATACATTTGCATACTTTATGCTAATCAGGCTATTTATTTTTGAAGAGGCACTTTGACTCCCGAGCCCCTTTCTCACCGGGATCTGTCGCTTCCTTTTTCCTCGAGACTGTTTCCTTGACGGGCAGGGGACTTGTCGTGCCCCAGCCTGGGCCAGGGACCCTACTGGCAGACAGGCTCTAACCAGGGGGAGGTGGCGCCCACCTGTCTTCCCAGCTACTCGGGAGGCAGAGGCAGGGTGGTCTCCAGCCTAGGCAATCTAGCAGCTTAGCGAGACGCTCCTGGCTTCCCTGGGCAGCGTGGGGCAGGGCGGGTCTCTCTGCACCGGGAACCTGAACTCCAGACTGCACTCGCCTCGGTCTCCCCTCTGCCCCTCCCCTGCCACTCTGGCCCTTCCTCAGTTTCCCTCTGCCCATCCTTAGCCCCCTGGGGTCTCCTCCTCCCCTCAGAGGACTCAGTGCCTTACATCCACCTGCATACTGAGACACGGCAGCCTCCTCTGCAGCCCTGGCTCCCTGCAGCGCCTCACTCGGGGTGCGGCTGCCCCGACGTCCCCTCACAGAGCTCTCAGGCCTCCAGTACTTGCAGTTACTCAGCCAAAATCCTGGGTCCTCCCCACTTCTCTTTCTTTCACCCCAAGCCTGAAGCAAGCCTCGGCACATCCTCTTTAAGAAGTTCATGGTGCGCATTGTGATCCCAGCACTCTGGGAGGCTGAGGCAGGAGGATCTCAGATTCAAACGAGTGTGGGACACTTCAGCAAGATCTGGTCTCAAAATCAGAAATAAAAAGGGATGCAGACAGAGCTCAGTGAGAAGGGCTGGGTTCCATCCCCAATCCCCCCCCCAAAAAAAAAACAAAAGGCAAAACCAGCACAATCCTAGTGGCACCCCTGTACCCCGACCTCTGCAGAGCTCTCCAGAATCACTGCTCTGGCTCCAAAGAAAGAGCTAAAGCCAGCTGGGGCAGTGATATTTGCAATGCATGAAGTTTAAACATTTTCAATAAAGAAAAACGAATCCAGCCGATGCGGTGGTGATTTATATTAATTGCAAACCGTGGGTCCTGCCGGCGGAATTGTCCAGCAGCGGGGGAGGGGGACGGCAGGGGCTTCACTGGCCCGGGTGGTCAGCCCTGGTGCAGCCGCTGTGGGGGGCCGAGCCCCGCTCCAGTAACCACGCGGCAGCCAGCCGGGCTGGTGGATAAATGTTACCCCAGGCGCGGCGGCTCCATCCCGGCGACTCGGCCCCTGCTATTTATTTTCAAATTAGGTCTTCGCCAAAGTGGCTCTTGGTCCACTTTATATGGGCAGGAAAGACTGGAACGGGAAAATGACCTGATTTTTGCCGTCCGAGAGACAGTCTGGGTTTTCAGGTCAGGGGAGTTCTGTGGGGTCCCTCTGGGGGGACATCGACCCGCTGGGGGCCACTTGGCATCTGAGCCCCACCAGGCTCAGGGCCACTGGGTTTGACTCTGAGGAGTGTGGGAACAGAGATTCAGGGTTGTGACCTCATTTCACGTCTTTTTAATCGTCTTGTTTTGTTTGAGACAAGCTCTCGCTATGGAGCCCTGACTGGCCTTGATCACAGGATCCTCCTGCCTCAGCCTCCGAGTCCTGAGATCACCGGCAGGCACCTCATAGCCAGCTCCATCCTCCGGTCTGTTCCGTCTGGTTTCTCGTCCGGGAAACTGAAGCTCTGAGTGAGGCTGTCGTGGGTCTCCTCGCTCCAGGCACCGAGTCTCCCTGGCCCTTCTCCCTGCCTCATCCAGAAGCTTCTCTGCTCCTGTGGTCCCCAGACTGAATAGAATTCGGGCTGGATCACAGGTCTGTGTGAAATGTGTAAAACCATAAAGCATTTAGAAGGAAAGAGTGGGGGATGTAGCTCAGTGGTTCAAGTGCCTGCTTGGTAAGTGCAAGGCCTGAGTTCAAAAAAAAATGAAGAAGAAGAAAAGAGAAAATTTCTGTGACCTTTCCCTCATGAAAAGGTCTGAGAGATGACATCTAAAGGTAATTCAAGGAGACAAAAAGAAATAAATCGAATTTCATCAGGTCATTTGTCCACTCAAGTCATTCCCGCGCATATGTAAAATGTGCCAAGAGCCAGTTTCAGGGAACAAACAGCCCAGGGAGCAAAAGGGAGGAGAGGTGCGTGGACACGGGGGCAGAGAGGACATGCGGCTGTTGCATAAGTTCCCAGAGAGCCTCACATCAGGTGGCCCCTATGGAAGTGCAGATCAGGGAGGGGCATCCGGCTGCTCCTACCTAAAGCTGTCACTTAAAAATAACAATAACACCCAGTGCTGGCAACGTCGAAGGGAAAACAGACCACTTATGTGTTGCTGCTAAGGGGGACCACGGGGCGGCCACCCTGGGGAAAGGGCTTTGTCTGCTGTATATTTGCAAAACACAGTGTGTATTTATATACATATATATATATTTTTTTTTTGTCTTTTTCCTTTTTATCGGTACCAGGGATGGAACTCACAACGGCCTGCTTGCAAGGCAGGCGCTTATGCCACTGAGCTAAATCCCCAGCCCCTATAGTGTGTATTTATACAGTGATCCAGCAATAGCATCTTGGGGCATTTATACCCCTAGAGGAAAAAAAAGACATCTGTCCATAAAGGCTTAGATGTGAATGTTCAGAATAGGTTCATTTAAAATAACCAGGGCTGGGAATATAGCTCAGGGGCTCAGCACCTGCTTGGCAAGCACAAGCACAATTCTTAAAAGCCCATTGACTGTGGAACGGGTTACAAAGATGTGGTATTTCTATACAGTGGAGTACTACTCAGCCATAAAGAATGATAAACAGGACACTTTTATAGGTAAATGGGTGCACCTGGAGAACACACTCATTAGCGAAATAAATCAGACACGTGCAAACATCACATTGGTTCATTTGTGTGAGAAGCTGAAAGAAAAAGCTTGTATTTTGTTTTTCTCCCCAAGAGA